AAAAAAAAACGGGAAAAACTTTTAAAATCTTTTTTAAAAAAAAAAAAAAAAAAAAAAACCACCCAGAGGATCTCCCTTGAAACGTTATTTCTGCAGCTTTCCAAGTGACCCTAGGGCTGCACACTGTCTGGGAACGTCCTAGAAGGTTCTGTCAGTGATCGGGTAACAGGAAAAACCCCAGAGTCCTTTCTTTCAAATGGAAGAGGGAGGACAGAGGGACAGAGGAACTATCCAAACTTCGTCTCCTTTCCTTGTGGCTTGTGGTCTCTTCCTCCTCTTCTGCCTTCTCGGAAGCCACCTCACCCTCCAAAGCATCCTCGGCCTCTGCCACCAAATCCACCTCTGCCTCCTCTGCCTCCACCTTGGCCTCCACAGCCTCCTCTGCCTCCACCTCGACCCTCGGCCCCAAGAAGCCACCTTCACCCTTAGGCTTGGCCCAGATCAAGGTAACTTTGTTTCCATCAATTTCACCATCTTCCATGCCTCCTTGGCAGCTGTGGCATCTTGCTCACTGTTGAAGTCTACAAAACCAAACCCTTTGGAGGACCCTGTTTCCCGGTCAGTGACTATCCTTGCATGCATCTTCAAATGAAGCAAATTCTATAAACGTATACCCTTTAGATTTGCCATTTTGGCTCTTGAGGCACATTGATAAAAGTTGCCTTCTCAAATACTTCCTGAAGCGTGTCTTTGGTTGCATTGTAGGAGAGGTTGCTCGAAACCAGAGTTTTCGATTCACCACTCCAAGTGCTATTCTTTCCACCTCTATAGTCTTGATTTTGACCTTTCTCTCCAGTGTAGTATAGAGAAATAGACTGCCCATCAATCTCTGTTCCCTGCTTTTCTTCAAAGGTTTTCTCTGCATCAGCGTCTGTCTTAAATTCAATGTAGGCAATCCCTTTACTTTTTCCATCTTTGCTGATTATTCTGATTGCCATGGCATCTTCAAATACTTCTTTTAATTCATCTTGAGTGACTTTGTAGGGGATATTTTTGGGCCAAAAGTGTCCTTGCATCTCGATCTTTCTTATTGTCTTTTCCTTTTGGTTTCTCTAGTTTAATTTTGTTGCCAAAGACCTTTAAACCGGTGAGTTCCAAACCTTTTTCTAGATCTTCAGCAGATTCAAAGTCAACATAGCCAAACTTCCTAGATGTCCCGATTCTGACATCCACGACAGCAAGATCATTTTTAAGCAAAAACATCACTAATACCAGTTTTTAATTCAGGGATAGATTTGTTATTGTTCAGGTTTCCAACAAACAGATGAAAGGATGTAGTTGGTTCTGTGGCTTCCACCTTCTGTTTCTTGGCCTCAGGAGCTGCTTTCTCTGTGGTCATTTCCTTCTTTCGTTTTCCAGAAACTTCTTTGACAGGCTCTTCTTCCTCCTCATCTTCCGCATCCTCTTCATCATCATCGTCGTCCTCATCTTCCTCCTCACCATTCTCATCCTCCTCTTCATCTTCATCTTCAGCCACAGTCTTGGCTTTGACAGGTGCAGCTTTTGCAGGAGCTTTCTTTCCTTTGGCTTGTGTGGTCTCCATAGCTTCTTCTTCAGACTCATCTTCCTCAACCTGATCTTCCTTATAGCTTCTTCTTCAGACTCATCTTCCTCATCCTGATCTTCCTCCTCATCCTCATCTTCTTCCTCCTCATCATCCTCATCCTCCTCCTCTGAGGCTGGGGCAGCAGCTGCTGCTTTCATCACTGCTGGCTCAAATTCATCCTCATCTTCATCCTCGTCCTCATCATCTTCCTCACTGTCATCTTCTTCCTCCTCGTCACTGTCTTCCTTCTTGGCATTCTTGCCATTCTTTGCCCCCTTGGCTGGGGTGACAGCTCCTTACCAGAAGTTGCTACCAACGCTTTGCCCGGTGTGGCTCCCTTCTTGCCAGGTGCTGTGACTGCTTTGGCTGGTGTAACGGTCTTCTTGGATGGTATGGCAGCTGCCTTTGTGCCTGGGGTGACCGCTGCTTTCTTGGCGGGTGTGGCAACTGCAACCTTTTTTGTTGGAGAAACTACCACCTTCTTTGCTGGAGTTGTGGCAGCCTTACCTTTTTTCTGAGGGATGATAATCTCTTCTCCACTGCTATCATCTTCTTCATCTTCTGACCTTCCTCAACATCACTGTCTTCTTCTACCTCCTTTGGACGAGGACCTATTTGGGAGGGGGGTGTCACCTTGATTTTTCCCAGCCTTAGCGAGCTTCACCATGATGGTAGCGGGTGTGGCAGGCAGGTGTGGCAGGCAGGTGGCGGAGATGAGTTTTGAGGAACTTTAGCGATGTTGATGGTGGCCATGAGCCCTGAAGATCCAGGAGCGTGTCCACTCGGCGGCCAGCTAGGGCTCGAGACTGCACAAGCATTTGCAGTTTGTTTTCTTGTTTGTTGCTTTATGTGACCTGCAGAACTGCCCTGTTGGCAGCCTGGAGGGCTGCTCAGATCCCATTTTTCTAACTGAAGACACTAATGGGAGCTCAGAGAAACGCAAACGGCAGGCACTGCACAGGAAGGCAGCTCTCCTCCACGGAGTGAGCCCCAGTGAACTCCGTGGCCGTGTGGCCTCAGTCAGCTCCAGATTCTCACTCTGGCTACACCACGGGTGCCATATTTCATCAGCCTGCGCTACTCCACACCGTCAGATGCTCTAAAATAATGAGGCACTTACGGGAGAAAAAATACTGCCAATTAGATGTTGTGCTATCCACTTCAAAGGTGATCAAATAAAATGTATAAAACCAAAGAGATATGATACAAAAGGGAAAAAATAGGGCCAAGAAGAGTAAGAGGAGACTTTTACATGTATGAGGGGACTTCAAAAGGCTTTTGGAAAAATGGAATTAAAGTACAAGGTTATTTTGATACAAAAAAAAATTTAAATCCAGGCATGCTTTTCCATAATGTACATTTTTCATGAACTTTTTGAAGACCTCGCTCCATGCACCTTTTTGAAACTGCAAGTCAAACAACTTCACCCATTATCCTCAAAAAGCAAGGGAGGGTGAGCAAAGGACAACAGGGTTACAGGCAGCTAATCCTACCCGCCCTTGGCTGCCGGCCCTTCGAAGGGGGCGAGCCCCTTGGGCTAATTCAGAACCTCTTCCTCGGCTCTCTTTGAGCCTGCTTTTCATTTTGCCTGAAGTTCTGTCTTTTGTCTAGAACTCGAAGACTCTAAAACTGTCTTCAAAGGGCCCCCGAATAAGAGTAAGTGGTCCGAAGACTTCCTAGGTCGTATGACTGTGCCAAGATCCTAACCGAGGGCCAGCGTGAAGTAAAGGTGCAACTGTACTGTGAGGGGAGATGCTGGCACAGTGGCGGGCACGGATCCTAAACGCTACACACCCCGTTTGTGCTGCCACTGCATGCGCTTAGACAAGACGTTGCCTCCTGTGTTAAAAACAAAAACAGAGGCCAAGAGGGGTAGTGGTGGTTAAGGCACTGGACCCCACGTGGCCAACCACAGTTTGAGCCCTGGGCCCAGGTGCATGGGCGTGTGTGCCCAAAATCCCTAGAGGAGACTAGCATAGAAGGAATTATGGCATGGCCACCTCCAGGGGTGGTTCCTCACTGTCCCCCTCTGTCTCTCTCCGGGGAGGGCACACGCCCTATGGCCAAAACTAATAAAACTTAAACAAGCAAAGAGGCCAAAGTTCACAGGCCAGTGAAGCCCTGGGAAGCCCCACAGACCTGTTTGGAGTCGGGCGTCCGCAGGTTCAGGCTCGCGGTGGAGATGGTCAGGGAGGTGCTCATCCCGGCGAACTGGAGGTTGCTCTTCCCCAGGATGCTGGACAGCACTTTGCTGGGCGGCTGCGGAGGGAGAGGATGGGCTTAGCCTTCTGTTCGCTGAAGGCCTCACTGTGGGGCCTCCCTTCACCCCTGGCCCTGACACACCCACCCGCCCTCATCAGGCTTGGAGGATGGATATGAAAGGAGTCGGCCAGGCGGGACTCAACACTGATATGCAAATTCGGGAAGTGCAATGTGAAAATCGCACACTTGCAAATGAGGCAGCCAAAGGAGTGGGCCTTCCTGGACACCACAGGTTGGGGAGCTCACAGAGCCCTCGTGGGTGACCTAGGGAGAGGGCTCGGACCGCCCTCGTCACACCACAGGCTACTTCTGAAGGGAAGACAAAGCTGGCCGGCTCTGGGGGCCGTGAGCAGCCAGGCCATCCAGACAGTGCGTGCTGCTGAGGGGATGGGGCACACACTGACGAACAGCCTCCCCATCAGGGCTTACTCGCGGCCCAGTTAGAACCCAGTGCGCCTAGAGTCAGCCCAGGATGGACAGAAATCACCTGGCTCTAATGTGTACCTCGTCGGGGATGGCCGTGGGCTGTCCTGGCCGGGCACCTTTTCCAGGGTAGCAGGATGGACACTGCCCATGCTCGTCTCCCAGTCCTTTGGGACCACCCTCTCCTTTCTTTCTGGATCAGAACATCTTTCTTTCTTTCTTTCTTTCTTTCTTTTTTTTTTTTTTTTTTTTTTTTGGAGAGGTTTTTGCTATAGGGCGCGTGCACTCACCAGAAAGACAGAGAGAGACAGAGGGACAGAAAGCGAGAGATCACCCCCCAGGGGGATGGCCACACCCCAATCCCTTCTCCTCCATTCTCCTCTCAGGATCTTGGGCACACACGCACATGCACCCAGCGTGAATTTAAGCCACTGGGTCTGGGAACCATGGTCAACTACATGGGAGTCCAGCAACATAGCCATTACGCTAGCTGTTGGTCCCATGTCTTTCTTTTGATATGCTAACTACTTTTCTTTTTAAAAAAGAATCATTTACTTAATTTTATTTATTGTTATTATTATTTATTTTAATTTGCTGCAGGGCATGTGCACTCACCAGTGAGAAAGCAAGCCACCAGGTCCTGGACTTGAACCACGGTTGGCCACGTGGCCGTCCAGCACCCCAACCACCACGCCATTGCTGTGCTCTAATTTGCTGAAGGAGCTGCAGTCCGGCTAGCTCAGCAGTGGGACGCGCTCTCAGAATGCATGAGTGGGGACTGTGCGGTGTAGGTGCTCACGACCCACCTGGATGGCGCAGCCTCCCGTGAGCTAGACTGCACATTCCAGACTTTCGTGGTCAAGGGCACGTGTGCAGTCAGGGACTGAAACATGGTTACTCTGTGTGTGATGTATTGAAACCAGAATGCCGGAGCCCCACCCGTGGGATTCCGATCAAATCCCTGATACAGAGCCAGAAAATTTTTCTCCACTACTTCCACCCAGAGAGCTGTGAGTGGCCCAGCTGTGGCAGTGCCGTATTGGAAGTCATGTGGCTCACGGCAGGTGCAGGGCCTGTGCATGCAGGTGTAGGAACAGCTGGTATGTATGCCTGAGGTCCCGACCAGCTGCAGGGCAGGAGCAAGGGGCCTGTGATGAGGCCCTGCCAAAGCTACCTGTCTCTCCCTGGGTCTCTCACTCTCATGAAATAAAGAAGTAAAACCTAGAGCCCAAGAGAGCCGTGAGGACACCCAGGATTGCTGTGTTAGTACCCCTGTCTCTGTCCTCAGGTGCCCACCTAGTTTTTATCCAAGACCCTGGAGTCTCGCCTCATCCCCAGTCCCTTGAGGGCTGACCAGACCACAGGCTGGCACATCTGTCTTCACTCAAAGTCCTCTGCCTGAAATCTGGTTGCCCTGAGGGTGCACAAAGGGCACCCTCTGAAATGACTCCAACCTCTGACAGTAGCAGAGACAAGCACCCCATTGGCCAGTCTAGAATGGGAAACACACAACCTCCGGGCCCCTGAGGGTCTCCAAAGGCTGCTTTCCCACAGTGCAGTCCGGGCACATGAAGTTCCACCAGGGGCGCGAGTCATAAGTTTACTAGGCACGAAACTAAGAGGTTTTGTGCTTTCTCTTAACCCCAGGTGTTTTTCTTTTCTTCTGGTCAAGCCATCTTCAGGATGGAAATGTCTCACACTGTGGTTGAAAGCGGAAGCTCCAGGCTTCCTCTCAGCTCCACCACCAATGACAGCGTGCCTCTCAGCACGGTGCCTCAGCTTTTATCATCCGTAACCCGGGACATTCTGCGGCATTCTAGACTTGGCTTGTGTTAGCCAAGGAGAGCCAGTTATTACATTTTTAGAAATTCTGGGATCAGCAGTTGGCATAATGGCTATGTCGCTGAGCTCCCATGTAACCAACCGCGGTTCGAGTCCCAGACCAGGTGGCTTAAACTCACGCCGGGCGCATGTGCATGTGTGCCCAAGATCCTGAGAGGAGAATGGAGGAGAAGGGACTGCAGCGTGGCCATCCCCCTGGGGGTGATTTCTCACCTTCTGTCTCTCTGTCTTTCTGGCGAACACACACACCCTATAGCAAAAACCTCTCAAAAAAAAAAAAAAATTAACTAATTAACAGGGGACCAGCAGGTGGCATGGTAGTTCAGGGCACTGGACTCCCACATGGCTGACTGAAGTCAGTTCAAGTCCCAAACCTGGCAACTTGCTTTCTCACTTTCCCTTTCTCTCTCTCTCTGGTCAAATTAAATAATAATAATAATAATAACAAATAAAATTCAATAATTCTTTTTTAAAAAATTAACTAATGGAAGGCCTGCCTGTGGCCTGGTGGTTGAGGGAGTTGGATTGCACGTGGCCAACTGCATTTCAAATCCCAGCTTTTGTGGCTTGAGAAACATGTCAGGTGCATGTGCATGCATGCTCAAAATCCCTAAAGGATGGAGAAATGGAGGAGAAGGGGTTGAGGCGTGACCACATCCCATGGTGGGAGCTTTCTCTCTCCCCTCTCTCTGTATCTCTGCCTCTCCTTGGTGAGTGCACACAGCCTCTAGCAATTATTTAAAAAGTTAATTCATGTGAACTTACATTTAAATACATCACATTGGGAAAAAGACAACAAATAAATGCTCACTGCTCATCACTTCCTAGTCGTTGTGCTACATAAACTGTTAACCGGCCTTCAGCCCACTGTGTCTATTGTCCCTGTGTGATGGAAACACTGTATAATAACACCTTTTGCCAACTCTGTCTTCAGGTAGGTCATGTTGAGAGCTTGAAATGGACCACAGGAGAAATATTTACACCACAGAAATTGGCAGAAGTTATGCATTCAGTGCTACTCATTCCACTTTACAATCCCAAGACCCGGTTGTTGAACATTACCTACACACCACTGGGGACCTCTACCACGAAGACTTGTTACAGTTAAGTGAATTCATCTATATACAGGGCCAGGCACTGTGTTAAGAGTTTGTTGTTAGGACTGTCTTCAGATATTAAGCCACAGCAAGTGACCAGGGTGTCAAGTGTGGTTGACAGGGACAGCTAGCTGTCTTCAACCGCAGAGAGCAATCTAAGTGTCTTTTGTCTGCAGAAGTGACAATAAGGATGATGACCCATTCTGTGTGATCAAAGACATGAGTGGTAGAAATAAGAGAGGAAGTGAGGGAGGGGACACAGTCAGACACGGGGCAGCATGAGCAGCACCTTCCTCTTCTTGAAGGCTCCTTTGGCACCGGGCACAGCTTCGCAAACACGGCTGATGGCTTCCCTGGGGAGGAGAAGAAGAGAGACCCATTTCACTAAGTGTCAGTCAGGTTTATGTAACCCAGAGATGGAACACCTGCACGTCCAGAGAACATAACTGCCTGTTTATTGGCAGAGAACAAGACCTACCAATTCAGGAGTCATCCGATGTCTCCTCTGAAAAGTAAAAGTAGACAGCACAGGCAGGTCACCTTCACCCCGCTGCCTGGCACTGTTCCTGTTCTTTTGGTCGTGGTGCTTGTATGTTAATAGTGAACGAGGGAGCAGTGCCAGTTTCTTTTTCCTTTTGTCTTTATTTATTTATTTATTTATTATTTTTTTTTACATTTGACTGAGATTTCGTTTTTGAATCCCAGCACCCTGAAATGTCCCCTTCTGGGTGTCATATTCATACTATGGTCAGGGCACGAGGCTGAGTTAACCACTGCTTTTGTATAAGATCCTTGGTCCTGGTTCCGACTCAGCTTGGGTGCCCAGAACTGTGAAGCTGGAAGCCACATGCCGACCCCAATGCACGTCCCCAGCCCAGCGGGCCTGAAAACAGCGGGTACGTGTGTGCAGGTCCTGGATCCTGGTGAGCTGCAGACCGGAACAAGAAGACCATGGCATAATCGAGCCATGTGGAGGGGACATCTCTCTTTCACTCTCTCACGTGTGTAAACATGCTCTACTCTGAGTAAAAAAAAAAAAAAAAATCTTCCAAAGTGAGTTGGAATGTAATTTTAAAAACCTGGGGGCCAACCAGTGCTGTCGTGGTTCAGACTTCTGAATCTTACACAGCCACCTGCACGGCTCCAGACCCTGACCTGGTGGGCTTGAGAAACACACCAGGTACATGTGTGTGTGTGCCCAGAATCTCAACAGGAGGACAAAAGATTGTGCCGTGACCATCCCCCTTGGGGGGTGCTTCCTCACTTTTTCTCTCATTCTCCCTCTCTCCAGCTAGCAAACTGGAATAAAAAAAGAAAAAGATTGGACCTTCCAAGTTGATGCCCTTCTGCAGTTAGTAAATATCATTATAGCAGGAGGCTTTGGGAGGCAGAGAGGTGCTCCAGGGACCAGGATGAGTCAAGATGAGGTCACATGTGGGGTCACCGATGCAGCATTGTCCTGGGTCAAGGAGACAGAGTGTCCTCAATACTGATGTCACCAGGGGCCGAGTGCAGCAGGAGTCTCACAGAGCAGGGGGGCAGGGAACGGTGAGGAAGCAGGACATGTGGAGCCTGCCGAGGTCCAAATACAGGTGCAAGGACAGCAGTGACGAAGACGCTTGAAAGCAAGCACAGCTGGACTCTGTGACTCAGCCCAGATGACAATGACAGGGAGAGCGGCCGAAGGTGGCTCCAAATCAGGAGCCCAGGAAGGAGCTGGTGAGCTGCCTGACGCCCACAAGGAGGAGGAGAGAATATTGCGAGAACCCCGAGGAAACGCACACCAGGGAGGCATGACGAGTGAGAGAAACAGCCCAGACACCGCCTCGCTGAGTCAGGCTGGAAATGCATGCCTCTCCTCTACAGGAAAACGGTCACCATCACATACTATGCTTTTAAGAGAAATATGTCCTTGGGGCAGCAGGTGGCGTGGAGGTTAAAGCAGCTGGATCCCATATGGTTGACTGTGCTGTTCGAGTCCCTGACCCAGCAGCTTGAAAAATCACACTGGGCACATGTGTGTGCATGCCCAAATCCCGAGAGGAGGCTGGAGGAGGAGGGGCTGCAGCGTGACCATCCTTCCTGGGGGGCGATTTCTCACTTTCCCTCTCTCTCTGTCTCAGGCAAGCGTACACCCCTATAGTGAATTTTTAAAAAGAGAGAGAGGAATACGTTCTTGCCAAACTAGGCAGAAGAGGCTGATGACGAGCTACACAATTGCTATTCAACTCATCACAGAGCTGGGGAAGGAAATAGTTTTCTAAAAGTTCAGATGCCAGGGAAACTGTAGACGATGAATCACCATGACTGGAAAAAAGTGAAGTGAGAAACCAATGTTTCTGCTGTCTCTGCTGCTCTGTTGATTCTGTAATATTCTAACCGAGATGCTACCACGCCATCGATCCTGCGTCTTCCGAAGTACTTTCTATGAATGATTCTTTACGGAAGAGCAAGTCGTCTCTTTGCAAAACCATGTAGACTTCAGTATCTGCATTTTGTCTGTTTAATTCAAAATAAAAACCGTTTAGGGGCCAGCAGGTGGCGTGGTGGTTATGGCACTGGACTCCCACATGGCCGACCATGGTTCAAGTCCCAGAGCAGCTTGCTTTCTCTCTCTCGTCTCTAGTGGGTGCATGTGCCCTATAGCAAATTGAAAATTATACAATTAAATTAAAAATTCAAATAATTGTGAATCTCTTCACTGTGACCTGTGCTTATTATTTTCATTGATACAGTTGGCTGAGCGAAACCGCTAAATCTTTCTAGCAGGCTAGAAAGAGATGACATCACTGGGCCACCCTGTAACCTGGTGGTTAAGAGAGCCACACCCCACGTGGCCGACTGCATAATTCGAATCCCAGTCCTAGTGGCTTAGAGCACATACCGGGCACATGGGCATACACGCCAAAACGCCTATAGGATGAAAACTGGAGAAGAAAGGACTGCAGGGGGCCACGTCCCATTGAGGGCACTTTCTCCCTCTCTTTCTCTCTCCCCTGTCCCTCTCTGGCAAGCACACACACATTCTGCAAATTAAATAATAATAATAGTAATTATTATTATTATTACTAAATGATGGGATGTCTTCCCCAAGTCATTCGTTAAATACCCCGAATACGCATCAGATTTTTTTTTCCTACCCACTCACATGGAACATAAGAGAAAAAAAATCAGTCTTCAATGACAGTCATCCCAAAGGACACCACCTAGTGTCCAACCTGGGCAGACCAAAGACCTAACGGCACCGTCTCCTCCTGCTGCCTCGGCCAAGGGGAGGTAGAGGCTGTACGTCGGCCTCAGAAGGGATCTGAGGGCCGGTGTGTGGCACGGCGGTGACAACGCTCTGCATCACCGGAGCGCCATGACAGATGGAGGTTCTGTTCCCAGGTCAGTGTGTACACCCCAGGTACGAGTGTGATCTTAGCTGGCCGGGAAGGCTGGCTGGGGCACCATGACATGAGTCCCTGTGGACTCTCTCTCT